CAAGTAAAAAGCAGACCTGAGTCATTTAATGGAGAGATATATGAGTGAATAGAGACCACTCATGCAAATATGTTGGGCAGGTCTATTTTAGCAAAATGGACCAACCCAGCTGGTGCATTAGGTAATCTCCTATAAATGAGGTAAAATTAGCTGGCTTGCTTTTCCAATAGGACACAAGAAGGCAGCCATGTTAGCAGGTAAGTCACTTGACATCTATAGTAGTGAGATAAAAAATACAATATGCTACCAGGATTACATTTGTGTTGGGGCTATTAATGAGAAAGAACTAAAATGGAAAACCATTATTGTTTTGAATAAGTTAAAAAATGCTGAATTAAAAAGTAACAAAAAAAACAATGTGTGTACAACACTAAAAAATATCATTTTTGTGATCTAATAAAGGCACATCACCAACCGAATGTTAATTGTCAAGATATTAAAAGTTGAAGTATCTAAGAACAAAAAAGAATTGGAATCTTTCTTAAGAGTTGTAAATTTCTACAGATAATATGTAGAGTGATACACTGAAATGACAGAACAAATACAATGAAGTGACATTTTATTGGTACTTTGAAAATGTATATATACATTGGTAGTAGGCAGTATAAATTTCTTAAAGATATATAAGTACATCTAGGCAATGTAAATTTTGTAAAGACATATGTCTTGGAAACATAGATACACATCAACAGCAGGGAATATAACTTCTGTAAAGATGTATAAGTACATGTTGAAAATGTATATATATATAGACAGCAGGTAGTATAAATTTCCTAAATACACGTGTACCTTTTGAAACTGTGTGTGTATATATATATATATATATATATATATATATATATATATATATAGGCATGGTGGAGTAATGGGTAACGGCTTGGATTGAGGAATTGGAGAGCTGAGTTCAAATTCCAGTCAAATCCATTACATTCACTTACATGCTAATATCCTTGGGAAAGGTATAAATCCTCTTCTTCTCCCTCCAGCTATGGGTAAATAGCAGGACAGACTGGATTCTATAGCCTTGGATAGCAACTGGTCTAGGACAGGGAAAACTGTAGAGGGTTGTCTGGGGACCTTGTTGCACATAGTGCACCAGGTCTCTGTATTCGGCCCTTCAAAAAGTGTGGTTGGTTCTGCTCAAAACCTTTACTGCTATAATTAAATCCCATGTGCTGATGTCTGTCTGTTGGTTCCTAGGAACTGAACTGCTTGACCCTCGTATGTAAAATATGATGGGAGAGTCGAGAAAAAAAAAATATACTTTAAAAGTAAATGCTACAAATTATATATATGCATTTTTATGGACCAAAAATTCCCAAATCAAGTGAAATAAAAGCAGCTATCCAGACACAAAAATCTGAATACATTAGCATTCCAAACCCCAGTGACCTTACATTCAGACCCATAGAAGCAGGACCAACCAGTCCAACTAGCAAACTCAGTAACCTTATAGACCCAATATTACAACCATTTACTAAGCAAATTAAAAGCTACATCAGAGACGATATTCACCTCCTTAGTTCCATACCACAAAAAGTACATCTGAGAACACTTATTTCAACTTGTGACATTAGTAGCCTATATAACAACATACCCCATGTATTAGGTAAGGAGGCAATCTCATTCTGGATTGAAAAACATTTAGAAACACTACATTCCAGATTCATTAAGGAATTGATTATAAATATCCAAACCCTAGGTACCCCAAGGGGAACAAAAATGGCACCTACACATGTCACCCTAACCTTAGCTTACCTAGAGGAAAACTTCTATGAAAAGATAGAACAAATATATGGGGAAAATAAAATATAAAAACCCACTTCACTAAATCTTGGAACCGATACTTAGATGATTGCTTAATTTTCTGGAAATCCTCATGGGGTGATATTAACCAATTCCACACTCTACTTCAGAATTTACACCCAAAAATTCACCCAAGAATATAATTTCAACAAATTACCATTTTTAGATATTAGAAATAAAAACAACCACATAATCACAGATATCTACCACAAGCCTACAGACACCCAACAATATCTTCATTTCAAGAGCCATCACCCAAAAAGCTGCCTGAAATCCATTCCCTATTCTCTAGCACATAAGGTTTGTACTATAGTGACTGACAAACACCTATGAAAAAACAGCCTAGAAGACCTATATAGAACTCTAAAAAAAACGAGGCTACCCTACAACACTAATAAACAAAGGTTTTGAACTCGCAAAAGAAATTCCTTTAGAAATCCAAAGAAACATAACGTTGAACAAGTTCTAGCATATGTCTCAACATACAACAAGAACAATCCTGAACTGTTTACAGGAATTACAAAAATCTAGACTTACTTAGCAAGAATGACAAACTGAAAAATACACTAAAAATAACCAAAATAATTAAAAGCAAATGCCAATCTGAAAACCTAAAACACATCCAAATTTAAACAACACACAATATAGGGAGTCACAAAATGCAACAAAAAAGATGTGGGGCTTGTGACATCATTATAGAAGGAAACTCCTACACTTTTGAAAACCCCAAAACGACATTCATAATAAATAAAAATTTAAACTGCAACTCAAAAATGTGATTTATGCACAAAATGTCAGAAGTCACATATAGGTATCAGCTAACAACTAAACAACAGGGTTTCCCTCCACAAAAGCAACATAAAATTACCAGACAACAGAAAACTTTTTGTATCACAACACATCTATAAATGTAACCAGGGTGAGTTTAAAACTATGCCAATATATCAAGCAGACAATTATTCTTACCTACAAATACAAGAAAAAACTTCATAAACTAATTTAAACCAGCACTAAATAGATTATAATCACACATGTGCACATAACAGCCAAATACAGTGATGAAACCACTCGCATGCATGCACACACACTTGCACATGGGTATATGTAGAGCACGAAAATGTAAACGCTTATTGGCAAAAACAATAGAGTACTCACAGGCACACCCTGTGAGTACTCTACAAATCCAAGACAACATAGAAAGTGAGTGCATGTATGTATACATGTATGTAGTGCATGTATACATACACATACTGATATATATATATGCACATATTGGCAAAAACAAGACTGCTCACAGGCACACACACAAACCCTACACAACATAGGAAGTGTGTGTTTGTGAATGTATGCATATATATGTAAGTGTGTGTATATGTATATACTAATTTCTTATAATAAGACAGTATGTATAGAGAGGGAATATACGTATACATATACATGCTGGCAAAAACAGGAAAAAATGGAAATAGATCTAAGAACACACAAGGGTCATTAAAAATAAGAATACAGAGATCTTTCCTCACCCTTTCTTGGACCTGTCGAAATTGTTTTATTACCCTTTATGCAGAAGAACTTATTCAATGTCAGTTCAAGGAAGATATGTGGGTCACAAACACACAAAAAAGAGAATGTCTAATATCGAAAAACATAAGAAAAATTCATTTCTTTTAATAATATGTGGAAATATCCACTCTTTGCCTGATGAAGGTTGCAAAACCAGAAACTCATGTAGCAAAATTATGGAAAATAAAGCATAATATTTTTTTAAAAAATCCACATTACAACCAAAACGTTTGTGGTTTCTTTCTTCTTTTTAATATATATATATATATATATATATATATATATATATATTTTAAAAGTAAATGCTACGAACTTTGGATTTTTACTCCATTTGTTTTTTCTCTCATTTGTATATATATATATATATATTGACAGCAGGCAGTGTAAAAATACTAATAACATTTTCTCATTAGTGCAAAAAAGTAAACTTTGTAAACCCATATGTCTTGAAAACATGTACATCAATAACAGTCAATGTAAGTTTTGTAAACATATATGCCCATAATACTGGAATGTTAATTATTTCAGTGGTAAAACCATGAAACTCCCTTGACATAACATTACAAATTTCATTCCAAAACATATCAGGCAACTGAGGAAGGGTACACAGCCAAAATGATTGTGAAAATAAAATAAGAGAAAGAAATTAATTTGAACCAACCATAGACAATGATTAAAATGCTTTTTACCTGACAAAATTCAGACAAGAAATGATTTATCTTTATATCCCAAAAAACACTTTCAATAAATGCCATTTTTCCTTTACATTCACATCTGCCATTCTCTCCCAAAATTCATATGAACAAAAATACAAGTTTGCTTTGAATAAATAATTATAGGGTTCAGCATTTTGCCTTGTAATTATCTTGCAGCTTTTGTCATTTGATTTAAATCAAAATATTAAGACATAATGCATAAAATTATCAAATATAAACTTAAAAAGTATGCATAAAAATATAAAAAATATTCATCTCTCACAAACATAAATGATATAATATTTTATTCTTGGACACAATGTTTCATTTATAAAATAATACAATAAAATAATACAAAAAGTTTCTGTAACTATGATATCATGGGAGGATATAGGAAACAATTATTTACTCACATGATTAGATAAATCACAACATAGCAAATGCTGAAAATATATGAAAGATATAAGCAGGTGCATATAGGCAATATGATATTGCATATATAACTAAGATATTGAACATCTGATATTAGAAAACATAATACTGACCTTATAAGCATCCCTAGTCATAGGTGGTTTATATTATCATAACTTATAACATTTTTTAGGTTTTCAAAATATAGTATTAAAAATGTCTTCCCTTTATACATTGCTTACATCTCTTCATTCTCAAGCTGTGATCTAAATGATGAAATGCTTTCCATTTTCAGGGCAGAAAATGGTTTTATTTGAATAACAATGGAATTTAATTATAAAACCTGTGAAAAAATCATTCATTTACTCCTGAAAATTTCAAAATATTAAGAAGTAGGAAAATTGAATTCTTCTTCTATATACTGTGCCCATTCAGGATATGCATGATAATGGCTGCCCACAACTTCCTATCCTTTGTAGCTCTTAGTAAGATCTACAAACTTGCTATCTTAATGGCTACATCATATTAAAACACTGGTTCCGGTATGATCACTGAAGTTAAGCAACATCAAGTCTGGTTAGTACCTAGATGGGTGACCACTTAGGAATACTACATGCTATAAGCTTGGGTGTGGGGGTGGTGTAATAGATAATGGCTTGGAATTGTTAATTGGAGAGCTGAGTTCCAATTTCGGTTAGGTTTGTTATATTCACTTACATACAAATCCCCTGGGGAAAGTGTTGTAATGCAATCTTCCACTCTCCCTATTACTTATTGTGGACTGATTATATCAGTAATATATGTACAGGACATACCAGAGTCAGTCTGTCTGTCTGGCTGGCTCTGGGAAGTGTTAGTTGATTCCCTGTCTTTTAGTAGTGTATTCTTTTGTACAATAAACCTCTCTTTCTTCCATGTTGCTGTTCCTTCCACTTGAGTACCACCTTTGTCTGTTTATAACCTTTTTTTAAGGATACAACAGAAAGTATGAATCCACCTCTTCTCTCCCTACTTAGAGGTTAATTAGTATCACCAAATCATTATCTCAAAAAAAACCCCAAAAAAACATCTTACAATCTAAAAATATATATTTTCAGGCTTTAAATAACCCGTAAAGAGTTGATAAACCATAGAAAATGAATGAATCAATCAATTTAAATCATTATGCCAAAGGTAGGTTATTCAATATGAGTGTCACTTTCTCCAAGCCCCCTTCCATCATCATGTGCTCCAGAAATTTCAACTCTCTATCTGATTCTAAGTAGAAGTGTCTATTTTGTTTCTATTTTCCTTTAAACTTTCTCCTTACTCACATATTCAATCTATGGTATTCTCAGCATCCTTCTGTAAAATCCCAATTCTGTTTTTTCAAGTTTCTTCTACATCTGTGAGGATGCTGTCTAGTATTTACTGTCATATTCTGGCAATTTCTCTGACAAGCTTTTTCCTTTGTGCCCCAACTACACAAATTTCATCATGCAACAAGATTGGCATCTAGGTCCCACTGATTTACTGTTTAAATAGTTAAATGCAATAGCCGCTTCTACTCCAACAGTTTCTTTTCTCACACTTCTTACCTGTGGAAGTCTCTTCTATTTACTTCCGTCCTTGATAATTACAATCTTCCAAAATTTAAATGCAATGTCAATCACCATCTTCTATCTTCTTGAATCCCATTCATCTTTTATCCTTTCCTCAATCCTCCCTATTTTCAGTCTTATCTTTCACTTTCACTCCCTGTAAATTCCTGTATACTAGTGGCTACCCATCTTGCTTGGGGTGAAATGATGAAAAAACTTAATATAGAAGGACTAATATTACATAATGGTTCAGCATTCTTTTCTTTCCCTATTCTAATTTGCCTTTGGATTTTGATGGCATATTTTCCATCCACTATTAAAACAATTCTTAAATGTATCTGTCTATATTTCTTAGATGAGGTATTATGTACATTATTTACATTACTATTGTCCTCATCTTTGTCACCACATTTATTAGAACGTTTCGGCCATTGTATGCTCCGGCCTTCTTCAGGTGGTTGAAATGTCGAACTGAACCCTTTATTTCACTCACTGGGGTAGACTGTTCTAGTTCCACGTGCCATGTTTAATGGATGTCAGTTATCAGTTATCTCCTGTTAATTTCCCTATGAAAGTTCTCCACTGCCTTAACCGGGTATTGAACTCACACTCTTTGGGTCCTGTCACTGGATCTAACTAACACCTTTATACATTGTGCCATGTGTCCTTGATGACAATTCCTAAATATTTAAATTTTCATACTTGCTTGATTTGGTATCTCCAATTTATAATTCCTTTTGCTGATTCTATTTTCTTACAATTGATGATTAGTCCTTTCTTCTTACTTTGATTTACTAGCAGTTCTTGTAATTTCCTTTCTCTGTCTGTGATTAACATGTTTTCATCGGCCTGTTTTATGTTGTTAAGATTGTGGTTGCCAATAATTAATCCTGGTCGGACTTCTAATTCTCTCAGGACTGCTTCACTCTAGAAGTTGAATAAGTCTGGTGAGAAGACACATCCTTGTCTTACACCCTTATCTATTTTTGTGTATTTTCTATCTGTATGCAGGTCGTTTGCTGTCAATATACATTCTGGATGATTCTAATATATTTTCCCAAATAAATCAAGCTAACCTAACAGTTCAAACAGTTTTTTTTTAATTTTAACTTATCAAATGCTTTTTCATAATGTACAAAACATACGTAAAACATCTTTCTGCATTTGCATTGTTCTTTCTGATATTGTTCTGAGCATAAATATTGCATTTCTTGTTCCAGTGTCTTTAACAAAACCACACTGTACTTGTCCTATTTCTGGTCTAATTCTGCTGCATGCTTTATTTATCAGAATTTGTTGCGTTTTGTTATGTGGCTCATTAAGTTGATTGTTCCATGAAGTTCATATTCAATTGCACCTGGGTTTATTTTAGGCAGTGCTATGAAAATTTATCTGTCTATATTTCCGAGATGAGGTATTATGTACACTATTTACATTGCTCAGACTATCATCCTCATCTTTGTTGCCATATTTATCACAACATTTTGGCCGTTGTACGCTCCTGCCTTCTTCAGGTGGTTGGAATGTCGAACTGAACACTTTATTTCGTTCACGACAACAAAGATGAGGATGATAGTCCAAGCAATGTAAATAGTGAAAATTAATCTACTTACAATTTCCAGTATATCACCACTGTTATACATTTCATTTATTATCTCTGTAATCTTGTCAATGTTGAAATCATCAAAATCTGCCAGCATCTCTATTACAATTCTATCTGGTCCTGATGCTTTGTTCTTGTTCAACTTAACCAATGCTGATTTCACTCTGAATTTTAATATTTCCGGTCCTTTAATATCATGGGTTGTCCTTTTGTTATGGAAGAGTTTTCTGATATATTTATTCCATACTATGTACTTTTTTTCTAATATCAGTATCCAACCCTTGGATTTTATGCATCTTGTTGATGAGCACACCCTGTCCCATTATTTCTTTTATACATATCTGTTTTATCTGTAATATTCAATCTATTTCTGCACATTGAGTCATTTAAATTTTGCAGTGTGCTTATCCAATGTGTTGACATTTTAAATTGAAAAAGTAAGGATAGAGGTTTACAGAAAAAGAAATCTCAAGCAAGCAAAGTTTAGAAATCACAGAGTGCTAGATCTTAATTGTAGTAGTGAGTGATTGGCAAATGCAATATTTTGCCAAAAACAAAACAAAAAAAAAGCTTACATGTGATATTGTTGTGAATGTGATGTTTAACTGTATGCAAGTTCACTCAGTGGGATTTCATCACTGACTGAGTAACCCTATAGAGGAGCATCTGTTCAGTAAAGTCCCTTCTGACTGTCTACCAAGTTACATCAAGGTCATACACCTAGTCCTTGAGATACTCAAAATGTCTACAAGCTTTCTGACCAGACCATTCTTGTCCTTATGTGTTTTGTTGTTACTCTTTGGATATTATAATATATCAGTACACATAATATACATCACTTGAGGGAATCTGTCTCAAAAGAGACACATTATGACATACAAAGACATATATTAAATTTGCAATGAATATCAATGCCTGCCTGTTATTGAGTGCATATAAACCTCTTCAGCTCTGTTCACAACAGTTAAATTCATTACAAATGTATGGTAAAGTAAGTGCTTTAAAATACAACTACTTTCAATTGGCCATTGACATCTTATACAAAAACTCTGTTGCATGATTCTTTCATCTTGTCTTGGCAAAAATTCAATATGGCTAACCCTAGGAAACTTCAGCACTCGAAAGAGAGTCTCATTTTCACAAGATGATTTTATCATTTTTTATTGTTAAATTTATTGATATAGTGAGCACAAAAGAAATGGCAACATCAAAACACTCTTTTGAATTCAGATTTTTATTTGAAGAAAAATAATGGGAAAATATTTTCTATCTGTTTTTTTTGGCTAAAATGACATTAATAATTATATATATAATGAAATTTTTTCATCTTTATTTTATTCCTAACTTATAAATGTTAACCTTTTTATAGAATTGCTTTTTCTTCAGGGTTTTTCTTTAAAACTCTTATCTGCAAGTTAAATCTTAGCACTTGTGTCTTTGAACAAAAAAAATGAATATTTAATATTTGAATTTTTTAATTTATACTCAATATATCATTAAAATTATTTTGAACCAGAATTTTTTGTTCACTTGCATTTTTTTTTCATTTTTGTTTAGACATTTTAGTGCAACATTAGTTTTTTTTCTTTTTTTACCATGTCACTTCAGGATGTAGGTGAGAATAATTCTCCACAGATTCCTTTTCTTTATTATCTGTGAATTACCATGTATTTTTAGTAAAGATAGTGAAGTGGTTTCCCATTGCCTTCTCCATAGATTCCTTTTCTTTATTATCTGTTAATTGCCATGTGTTCTTGGGAAAGAGAGTGGAGAAGTTTCCTGTTGCCTTATCTACAGATTTCTTTTCTTTATTATTGTGGAATTGTCATGTATTCTTAGGTAAGATAGTGGAGGGATTTCTTGTTACCTTCTCCATAGTTTGAAGTTAAGCTCTACTTGTCTTTGACAAGGCAAGAGAGTTCAGTCGACGTGATTATTTAACCCAGAGTTGCCAGAAGAAAAGATGGATTCATACTTTTTCCAAGTGCATTAGTGTGAATGTGAATACAATATATGTTAAAACTTTGTTCTGCTAGGTTTCATGTTTTCAAATTTCACAACTTGATTGTTCCAGTAGATAAAATCATTGGCTAAATGCCTTCAGTTACTTGTTGGCCATGAGTTCGGTCTCCGGATCAAGTAATGAAAAACATATTCTGTTGCTGTAGAAAAGGATGGTTTAAATATTGATAAGAGATATTCTCTAGTATGTACAATTGGGACGGGATCTGAGAAGCTAACATCAAGATAATTGTGGAATGTGATTAATGCCAGGGAATACTCGAGGTTTGAATCAAATGTAATGTCAATCAGAATCATTTGATCTGAGAGGAGTTGATCTGTGGTGACCACATTCTATACTGGGTTCTCTTGTAGAGATTCCAAACTAAGCTTAGATTAGAACATCAAAAGAGATAGGAGATATCCTCATAGAAA